CGCAACGAGAAAGAGCGTAGGCTGACCCCACCAGCGGGAGACGCCGCGCATGCGCAGCCGGACCGGAACGCGATCTGCCACCCTTCGCGGCGCCGCGCATGTTCCAAGCGGCTTCACCTCCCCCGCGCATGCTCATTCCCGCTGGTAGCGCCGCCTCTGGGCGGGAGGCGGGACTGCACACACCTCTCTCAGGGTGGCAGGTTCGAGTCCCTCCGCGGGATGAACCCGGCCCCAGGGCCAAGGGAGTGGGGTGGTCCCCTTTCGTGCAGAGACCAGCCCCTTCTTGTTGTGCATCCACCCTGGGTCCAGCCCCTCCTCAGGGGAGACAGGACAGGCTCTCGCCCCATGGGTACCAAGAGCTGCCCCCACCCAGCGCCACTGCCCTCCCCCACCCCAGGCCTGCCTCTGCCTGCCCCTCTGACACCAGCCCCCATGGCCTTGGCCCAGCTCTAGGGGGAGGGTTCAGACCAATCTGGCCCCAGGAAACCCTCCCCCAAGGGCCACAGTCCCACCCCCAGCCCAGCCTGGAGCAGAGAAGGGCGGGCGGCAGGCTGGGGTTACAGTAAAGCTTTAATGTATGTCCCATTGGGCTCAGCTCCCCGGCTCCGGCCTCACCGTGCCAGGAAGGGGGTGTGCCCAGAAGGGAGCAGGGCACAATCCCTCGCTGTCGACCCCTGCCCCCAGTGGGCTGCTCTCATCCAGCCAGAAAGGGGCAGCACCCCCCAAGGAATGTGGATGCCTAAAAGGGCAGGGGGCCGGGGGGAGAGGGCAGCCACCATGACCAGGCCGGAGGGTAGGGCCGTGGCATAGGCTGGGGGATGGAGAGTGGAATTCAGTTCAAACTTGAGAGGCCACGCAGTGTTAGGGAAGGGCCCTTTAGGCCAACCTGGGGGTGGGGGGTCATCATCACAGTACAGCCCGTTCCTGGAACTGGGGGCCCCCGCTGGGCTCTGCCAACCCCCTGGGGCAGCTGGCATTTCACAGGGGCCACACCGGAGGGACCCAAGGGGGTTGCGTGGGGCAGCTATGAGGACCACAGGCCCATCCCCTGCCAGAGAGCAGGGATAAGGGATAAACTTAAATACAGAAAAAATAGAAATGGGGTGGGGTGGAGGGTATACTGGGCCATGTCCATGAACTGAGAGCCCCTGGGGGGGGACAAAGGCACAGCAGGGAGGGTAAACGGGGGCAGTGAGTCCTGGCTGCAGGGAGAGGGCCAGACGGTGGTAGGCTCTGGCAAGAGTCCAAGTGCCGGGGCTTCCCCCATGCTGGTGCCAGTGCCCCTCCCCGCTGGGCCCTGGGGCTCCCCCGCCTGCCCCCCACTCTGTTCCATGGGGTCTAACCAGTGTGCTGGGGCCTTGATGCCACAACACCCACAGGTCATGGCACGAGGAAGCGGCCTGGGCCCTAGGCACCCACCCTGCCCGGGAGACAGCAGCGAGTCCGGCGGGCATGAGAAAGTCCAGGTGCTGCTCCCTGGGTGGGGCTGGGCAGACAGGGCAGGGAGGCAGGGGAGTGGGGAGGGTGTCTCAGGCCAGGAAGACCACGAAGATGATGAAGAAGATGATGAGGATGAGGAAGATCTTGACCATGAGCCAGCGGTTGGAGGTGACAGACTGGAAGTACTTGAGGATCTCGGAGTGGGCCGCCTCCACGTTCAGCTGTGCGTCCTCCACGTTAGCGTCGATCCTGGTGGGAGGGAGACTCAGCTAAGGCTCCCCAGAGCCAGGCTTCCCCTTGCCTCCTGGAGTGGGGGCAGGCATTCACCCACCGCCTCCCCTCCCAGGGCAGCATGTGGGAGACCCCAGAACACCTGTCTAGATCTCTCTAGCACACATGGGCTCCATGATTAGTGGGGGACCCAGGGAGGTGCAGCATTAGGGTGGGCAGCCATGTGCCAGAGAGCATTTACCTCTGGATAGTCTCCTCCTGCTCCTTCACCATGTGCGCCAGCTGCTGGAAGATGGAGCCCAGCTCCACGATGGTGGACTCAATGTTCTGCATGGTGTCCGCCCGGCTCTGGATGTACGAGTCCTGCCAGCGGGGTGGAGTCAGCCCCTGGACCCCCTCACCCCGGAGATGCCCCCCACGACACAGATGCCAGAGCCCCTCCCCCCAGGTACCTGCTCGTCGATGAGCTGTAGCTGCTGGCTGG